ACCGTTGGGTTACTGATCCGTGTTCTGGTCAAGGGAAAGTCGCCAGCTGATGTGTGTATTCCCGTCGTCATAGTAGCAATGTTAGAGTACCTGTGGCTTCGTGGAACGACCTAGGTCGTTAGCGTAATCGACCTTCGCTGTAAACTGGGACGGTAAAGTTTTTCCCCTGGAACTGAACGCAGGGAACTCCCACTTGGAAGCACCACGCCTCAAGCCACCCGGCTACTGACGCGCCACTGTCATCCTCCCTCGCAGATACCGCATCTTCATAAAGAGGCCGTCGGCGCAGGACCCGAGCTGGAGCACGTACATGGACGTGTTCCACCCGACGCTGTGGGCGGTCCTGTTGGTCACCATCCTGCTGAGCGGCGGCGCCGTGGGCGGCATGTACTGGCTGGAGAGGCGCACGCGGCTCGCCACGCTGCACCAGGGCAACTTCGGATGGGGTGACAGCTTGATGTACTGCTTCGCAGCTGTCTGTCAACAAGGTGACGTCACGGGTGACGCCATGGGTGACGTAGCGTTGTCGGGCTTGACGAGTTCCCCAGGCCGTGCATACGTTGGCAGTTGTGACAACTGGCGCTCATTGCCCATTAGGGTTTCGTGGACCATTCGCCATGCGATTAGATCGATTGCCCTCCAAAGTTTTCGATCTTGGGATTGGCTGTTAGGATTTTCACCATCACGGCAGGCGTAGCATAGTTGAATTGCAAAATTCTTGAAAAAAACCTCTTACTCTAGTCACGGCCTATATCTTTCACCTGACGCTTACCCTCATCGTACAGGAGGGAGCCTCAGGGCCACTAAGGCTGTTCGGAAATAGCCGCTGTGCATTTTAAGCATGGTGGTAAATGGTTAGCCATTGGGTAGCTTGGTTAACATTATAATTACACATATCGCGAAAATGTGATATTTCTTACCCTGGCGTACTATGTTCTGTGGGCTCTTTCTCGAGGCCATATCAGCAACATTTTGTTCAAGCATGCCAACCACGATGCTGTATTACACGCAGACAGTGAGCTCCACAGAGGTTTTCTAGACCGTTTCGTTGAGCTTAATCACTCTGAAGTGCATCACTATCGTTTCTAGCATTTTTTTAAAAGTCTAGGCCCACCAAGGCTCACTCCTGTGCCACGACAAATTTTGACCTGGTGGCGCGATAAATTTTGACCGTCGTTAGCAGACTTGACCCTTTGAAAAATATCGTATGTTGAATCCTGACGGCAAATCTCATGTAGCTTGAGAAGGAAATTCTAACACAGTTTTACATTCATGCGGCTTGTTTAGCTCTTGATACAGCAGACGGGCCAACACAACAGTAGCCACTTTACCTGAAATTACAATCGTTTTAGCTGACATGACATACCACGGCAGTCTGCGCCTGTCGAAATTCATTGGAGTCCATCTGGTGCCAATCTATTGGAATTTCCCAAGAGCTTCCCAACGCCGCATTCCGCACTGTCGTCGCATGTCTGACTTTTGAGATAAAAACAGCGGTACATCAAATGCTACTTTGACCCTCATGAACTGATATGACCTTTCAACGGTCACATTGATCATTTTTCATTACAGCTAGGGGACAGTGGGACGAGTTGAATCATGTCCAAAAAGTATCGGGGCGATTTATTCCATACCTATGCGACGAATGACAGCCTCATGTGTCGTTCAGCAGACGCGCAGCAGCTCACTCTATTTTCAGTGTACTTCCGGCCACATACGTGCACGTATGGTGTGACCGTAAACAGCCCCTTTCTTGCTCATCGTTGGGAAGTGTAGCGATCGGTGTAAATGCGCACTTAGAGGTCTACGGCATAACTAGACAAATCTGAATATTCCACTGAGTGGTGAAGTGCACGTTTCGTACATACTGCAAAACATTTGACTTTTGCCAGCCAAGGATTTCAGGATGGTGCGAACTGTCTTCTAAAATTTGGTGGTGCGTGTTGTATCAGCTGTGAACGGGGCATGTTGCGTGATTAAAACAAAGTACCGACAACACGTTTTTGACTACCTTACTAATGAGCATACAGTAACTTAATGTTAATCATAGACTGGCATGATTGCCATGACTTATTGACATATAAACAAGTCAACGTTTACGTAGCCTTCGCAGATCCATAATTTTCACCAGAGCAGCCGAAACCGAGTCGGCAGTAGTCGCAAAAAAGAACTGACTGATGAAAAGTGCAACAATCTGTCCCGTCGCAATCACGACGCATTACCAGTTGGCACAACCAAGAGCACTTGGCCTACACATCGTAAGTCATTCAGCTTGCTTGCGATGCAGCTTACTCTACCAAAAAATCACATAAGCGCAACTTACCCACTATGTCATACAATTCAACCCTGGATGAGTTGCTCGTCTCACTTGAAAGGGGCCCATTCATGAGTCACTTGCCAAAATACGAAAACATGCCCCCCAAAGCTTAACCGCAACATATGAAACTGAAGGTTATAGCTGTCTGCAGATGTAAGAACCTTAGTCATATCCTCAGTAGTT